GCTGTCCATAGTTGAAAACAGAGCTCTGACCAGTCTTTGGTATTTTGGTCATATCTAGGTCTAGAGAGCTCCAAATGGGATGATTCTTGAGACATTGGAAAGCTAACTCAAAGGGATACAATTTCTATGTTTTACACAAGAGCTAGTTCGGCCTTCATCATCAGGTAAATAGCAGTTGAATTAATGTCAAATACACAGAACCGAAAACGTGGCTCAGTAAAAACGTGGCATGAAGCTGCATTTTCTCAAGTCGCGTATTCCTCAATTGCGGCTGCAACTTGCTCAGAAAATTGTGTTTTATTCACACAAACTTTTGGTCCATTTTTCCTGCAAGAATATCGATGGAAACAGCCCAAGACAGCTGCTAAAGAAGCTTTACAACTCATTCTAACTTGTTTATGGGCTCAAGACATGATTTAACACCTTGTTTCTTGCAAGAAATTTCTCTATAAATAGCTGCCTTGGAGAACCATTTTGATAAATTTACAAGGCTAGGAAAACTCACCAAAAATATAATGTTCACTAGTTTTTCTTAGTTCATTAGTATAGTATAGTAGAGTAGTTTATCCTTCTTGTATTTGTAGTTAGATTGGAGGAGCAAAGATGGAGAGTTTGAAGCTCATGTGACTAAGGTGACTTCTCTCTGATAAGTGCATAGTTTACATGTTTTTAGTATATTTTATTAGTTAGTTTTGGTGTGTTTTAATTAGTTTTATAGTTAATTAACTAAGATTCTAGTGAAAATATGCATTTAGGGGCTTAAGTGTTAAAAATTGCATTTCTATGGATTTTTATGGTGAAAACTTCATGTTTTTGTAGGTTTAATGATTCAATCATCAAATGACATAAATTGAGAAGAGAATTGGATGATTGATGATGGTTTTAAGTGATAAAAAGAGAATATGAAATGCAAGAGATGAAATGCAATCAAGTTCTAAAGAAAAGGAGTTTCACAACTTTGACACCTTGTGGTATTTTGGCAATATCTTGAGCGACAATGATCGAATTGAGGTGATTCTTATACCATTTTGAAGCCAAGAGATAGATCTACATTTTGTATGAGACATTGAAGTCCAGTTTGGTTGTTTTCATAGTCAAAAGGTCGAAATACTGAAGTACATTTTCTATGGTCGAAGCTGAAACAAGTTTCTGACCAGTCAAGGGTAATTTGGGCATTTCTCAATCCACGGAACTCCAAATTAGGTGATTCTTGATGCATTGGAAAGCTAACTCAAAGAGCTACTTTCATGTTTTATATAAGAGCTAGTTCAGCCTCTAACATAGAGAAAATATCAGTTGAAGTGGATAAAAAACAGAGCAATCGATCCGAACTCGGATCCAATATGATCCGAGCCCTCGTCTGATCTTCTGGACAAGTGGATCCGAGACCAGAGGATCCGAGCTTAGATCCACTGTAGCAGGCCTCGGATCCCAATGAACAATGAAGGTGAAAGATGAAGAAAAATGTGATCCGAGGGGTAATTTGAGAGATCCAAGCTCGGATCTAGCCCTCGGATCACTACTTTCGGCTTACCAACTTGTGTTCTGTTCACACAAGTTTTTTGACCAACCTTTCCTGCAAGATTATTGGTGGAAACAGCCCAAGACAGCTGCAAAAGAAGCTTTACAACTCCATTTTAGCTTGTTTATGGGTTCAATACATGATTAAACACTTGTCCATTACAAGAAATTCCTCTATAAATATAAGCCTTGAAGAACATTTTCATAACTTTGGGAGGCTAGAGAAACTCCACAAAAATGTAGTTCTCACTAGTTTTTCTTAGTTCAATTAGTTTAGTAGTTGAGTATAGAGTAGTATAGTTTATCCTACTTGTTTATTAGCTAGGCAAAGATGAAGATGGAGATGAAGAAGGCAAGGGAAGAGCTCATGTGACAAGGGTTACTTTTCTTTCCAACTCTTTATCTTTTGTACATGATTCTAAGTTTAGTTAATATACAAGTTCTGGATTTTGTGTTTATGATGTGTCTTTAAAGTTTATGCCTTGCGTTTGGTTGAACTTCCTATGATTGTTAGTGTTTATTATTTGGCTATTTGATTGCTAGTATTTGAGCAAGTTATTTAGCACTTTAGCTCTTTAAATCATGATTAATCTGGTACCATTAATCTTGGTTATCTAAGGTATTGTTTCTGCAATGAAAATTGAGATTCAATACTGGTTCAAGAAGTGCTAAACATAGGTAGTACACTTACGAGAGTAGAGGTGCACCTATGTGGTTTTGGTGATTAATTTCATGTAATTTCATTGAAGCAATGACCTTGTAGCTAATTTCATAACCATGAGAATAGGTATGAATTATTTATGAGTATAATTGATTCACTACGAAAGTAGGATTCAAATGCATAAGGAAATTACACCATAGCTAGCTTAGATAGTAGTACTCAATAATCCAAAAGTCACACTTGCATGAGTAGTTAGGGATACCACAACCCAAGGAGCTTCCATTTGTTATTTTCTTGTATAAGTTCAGTAGGTTTTACTTATTATAATTCACTGATAGTCTAAATAATAGAGAAACTTTAGTTTTGCCGGTAATTGCAATCTTCCTTGTGGGATTGACCCTTAATACCCTATACTCGCTTATGATTCGTATACTTGCGATAAATCGCGTGTGGGGTATTTAGGAGTTTATAAATGTAAAACTTGATTGTGGATGAGTTAAATGTTACATGTATACCCCGCGCACATCACTCTCCTATCACTTTCTCTTTTGTATTTGAATTCATGTTTAACTATAATACAAATTTGGTGTTTGTTTTTACCATGTTTAGTTAAAGTTTATGCCTAGAGTATGGATGAACTTTCTACATCTTATTTATGACCTTTACTTGGTTATTTGATGATATTATTTTGAACAAGTTATTTATCATTTTTGCTTTTCTAATCATGATTAACCGGCCATTAATTGTGATTATCTAAAGGTGTTAAGTTTGCAATGAGAATTGGAATTTAACACTAGTTCAAGGAAGTAATAAACTTAGGGAGTACACTCACGAGAGTAGAGGTGCACCTATGTGGCTTAAGTGACTTGTTCATGTAATTTCATAGAAGAAATGAGCTTGTATTTAATTCATAACCACGAGAGTAAGTATGGCTTATTTACAAGTATAGCTGATTCACTACGAGAGTAAGGTTTCACATACATAAGGAAATTATGCCTGTCAAGATAATAACATTCACTTAATCGGTATTCTCATTTGCAAGAGTAGTAAGAAATTCCATATCTCTAGGAGCTTTCTAGTGTTATTTTCATAAATTTTATATTTGTGGTAATCTAAATAATAAAGGAGTTTGAAAACACCGGTAATTGCAATCTTCTCTGTGGGATCGACCCTTAATACCCTATACTCGCTCACGATTCGTATACTTGCGATAAATCGCGTGTGGGGTATTTAGAAGTTTATAAATGTAAAACTTGATTGGGATGAGTTTAATATTATATGTATACCCCGCGCACGTCACATGGAATTGAATGGAATAAAAGGCCCTAATACATAATTTTACTAATTAGAACATTGAAAATAAATTGGATTTAAATATCTCTAATTATCTCAAAGTTAAGTACAATGGCTTTAGTGCCCACAATTTTGCTGATTTAGGCTTGGAAATCAATCAAAGTGGTTTTGGTGTCAATTTATGTCTCTAAAATTAAAAATATACATTAAAATTAAACGGCCTTAGCGCCCGATTTTACTAAATTACTCTTGCGCCAATTGTGGACCTTAGGGTCTCATTCATTTCTTTTAGGGAAAATAGCCAATTTCATCCCTAAACTTTTCACTAGCGTTGATTTAGTCCCTCACTTTTATTCCTAACCAATTTGATATATGAACTTATTTTGCAGTTCCAATTAAGGACTTCTGTGGCGGCTTCACCACCTAAAACTAATCTGGCTCTTAATTGACCAACTAAACAAGGGTATATTGGGAACATCACTTATGAGACTATAATAAATCAAGTAAATTGTGTAAAAAATCACAATATTAAAATTTAAAAAAGTTTTATCTAGTGGTTTTTTACACGATTTAAAAGTTTTATTTGGTGATATTTTATATATTTTACTTGTTTTATTACAGTCTCGTGATAAATACCCCTGTTTAATTAGTCAATTCGGAGTTAGATTAGTTTTAGATGGTGGTGCCACCGCGAAGGTCCTTAATTGGAACTGCGAAATAAGTTCAAGTATCAAATTAGTTAGAAATAAAAGTTTGGGACTAAATTGACACTAACAAAAAATTTAGGGATGAAATTGGCCATTTTTCCTTTCTTTTATGGCCTATAAATTAAAGTTAACCTTTGGGACCAAATGATGCCAACCACGGCATTTAAATTATTTCGGTCGTCGTGCCTAAGAATTATTGCCTTTGAAGCATTTATAAAGGAACTTCATAAGATTTGAGCCTGTAAAGAGTATACAGGCAGCCTAAGTACTATATTTAGATGCAACCCCAAAAGCAGATATAATCCTAATTCCCCTTTTATTAGTACTCCATTCTTATTTATTGAGTTTGGGAAGTGTAAACCATTAATGTACAATTAGAATCAAAATATGTTTCTCTTAATTAGTTAAGTGAAAGTAGTTGATAGATTTAATATTTAGAATGGGTCCCACTCACAAAAAATAAAACTCTTGTGACTAAATCATACGAGTGAAATTAAGTTGGGTGGGAATTTAATTCATTTATTCTGCATGCTTTAATTTCTCATTTGACTTATTGTATCGTCAGTCTATTAAAAATGAAATTGGCTAATTTGTGTTGCATTTCTGATTGTTGGAAACAACCTAAATTTATCGACACAAGTAGAAGTAAAATCCTCCATTTTTACGTCCTCAATATCACAATTATAAAACAAGAAAAATATCCTATATCTGATGAATGATTTATTTGCTATTTAAGAAAAAAAAATGTAATAGAAAAATTAATTCCCACACATATTGTACAATAACCAATTAAGCATACGTTTTTTTTTCTTTTTCCCAACTAATCAAGAGGGCTTTTTATCATTATATGATGACAAACTATGAATTATTTAGCTACATAATCATTTAGGATTTCAATGAATTTCGTACATTACATACTTTGGTGTAGAAGAGAGGGAAAGAAACAAAAGAGTTGGATAATATTAGAACAACAAATATAAGCAAAACAAGTAAATGCTAGACCTAGATATATCAACCTAGTTAAAGAGGTGGAGAGTTGGCTTTAGAAGGATGATCAGTACCATGATGAGGGTGAGGTTTTGGTGGACATGGATTTGGTGGATCAGATTTTGGTGGACATGGCTCCGGTGGATGGGGTTCTGGTGGACACGGCTTCGGTGGATGGAGTTTTGGTGGAAATGGCTCTGGTGGATAGGGTTTTGGTGGAAATGGCACCGGTGGATGAGGTTTTGGTGGAAATGGCTCGGGTGGATGGGGTTTTGGTGGATAGGGTTTTGGTGGAAATGGCTTGGGTGGATGGGGTTTTGGTGGAAATGGCTCTGGCGGATGGGGTTTTGGCGGCTTTGGTGGAAAAGGAAAAGGTGGCTTTGGTGGAAATGGAATGGGTGGTAATGGCTGAGCATACCCACACATCCCATAGAAGCAAAAGCTTCCAAATGGACATCTATGTTCACAACTCCCACAATGGAAAGGGTTGATATTTGTGTTAATGCAGATGCCTCTGCAACATTGCCAAGTAAATGGGCATCTGATTTTACAGAATCCACAGTTCTCAACATCAGAAGTGACATCCACGCAGCGATTTCGACAACATAGTCTCTTTATTCTTGGTGGAAATTCCCCTGGTGGATTGCAGATCCAAGGCCTATCCCAGCATCCAATGGGTCGAGGGTTCACTACTTTCTTAAGCCAAGGGGATGAGGAATGAGAGAAATTTGTGGTATTTTGTTGCAACCCTTTTGGTATTGGGGTTGTTCCATCAACTACCCATGTACAACACACCAGTAATAGTAAAAGTTCTACTAAAACCAGTGTATCTGTCTTAGTGACATAGAAAAGTTGCATCATTTTTCATCCAAATCGATGGAAAACAGTAAGTTCATGTAGTATATATAGATGAAATGAATTTGATCATTGTTCTTGCTGTTAGGAAGGTTCATGTTTTTCTCACAAAGGTAACTTCAAGGGACTTGTGTAGGTGGTAAGTTTAGCATGCTAGATTTACTATATGCATGATAAAATGGAAGCCCATACATTGTGTAATGCATGAAAGACTTTTAAAAGACTAACTTTCGGCATCTTTATTTGTTTTTTTTATCAGTTATTTAGTGAGCTTTGATTTGCTTTTACCCTCTTATCTTGTTCTAGTACTATCCAAAGCTAATAACAACACTAAGATGGAATTTGGAAAGATTATGAATTGTATACTTTGTGTAGTTGCTATCCTATATATAAATTCAACTACTGACTGAAGTTGTTATTGGCTAGGAACACCTTTTAAATTTTTAGCATAATTGGATGATTGAAAAGATTCATGAACTTTATCATTATCTTATGATTTTTTATGCAAACAGTTATTAGCATTTACCTCTTAGTCAGTAAACGAATAACTAAATTAGTTTTGATCGGAATATTTTTTTTTTTATTGTTACTTGCTTTGGAACATTAGATATAGAATATTTTTCATGAATTCTAACTTTTATTCATACACTAGCTTTTAGAGGATATAAAATTATCTAGTTGCTCAACTCAATGGACTACAATTTCTTGACAGAAAAGTTTTTACTAAATATCAATCAGACTATCACTCTTAACATTCATCCCACCCTTCCCTGCTAGAAAATAAAATTTTAAATAAAAAATTATCTTTTTCCAAAGCTAATATAATTTTCAAAAAGGGCCCAAAGGCCTTTGGTTAACAAGAGTCTTAAGTTTTAGTTTTTAGAAAATTGAAGTCAAATTGGAGAAAAGTTTAAGTACAAGAAGGGATAATAAGAGTAGTGGATTTTATGGTAAAGTATATGGACTAAATGGTGCCCCTTAGCCGGTCTTTATTAAAAAAGAAGGGATTAAATCTAGGCCTGTCAACGGGCCGGGTCCGGATTGGAATTATGAATTCCGGCCAGGACCCGGCATACCAAATTGGATCCGGATTTGACCCGTTTACCCGACGGATCTTCTACTCTATGTTCCGGATCCGGCGGGTCTCGGATCCGGGTCTGGGTCTACTCGAAAAAAATTATGAAAATTTACAATTTCTAATAAAAACGAGAAAAAAATATATTTGTACACTAATTTCTAACTAATACAAAAAAAACCAAATAAGAAAATAAATCAAATTGACTTTACTCAAATACATTACCCTAATCAAATTATATTGATAAATATACATATTTTAAATTATTAATCCATTTATATCCGGATCCGGGTCTAATACGGGTCGGAATACTATATTCCGTATCCGACCCATTTTTTTGTTTGACAAAACGGATCCGGATCCGGGTCCGGGTAACGGAATTAAATCCCTGCCCATACCCGCAATAATTTCACGGATCTGGGCCGGATCTGGGTCTAGACCCGGACCGTTGACAGGCCTAATTAAATCCATACCTCTTCGTACTAAATTAAATGCACGCCTCATGTACTTATTAGACAACAATGCCCTCATCTATTAAGTTTGTTTAATTTTCTTATAATTCCAAATAACATATGTTAGACAAAGCAACAGGGGGGGAAATGTTTCCATTTAGAAGAGAATATTTTCAAAATTTTCACAAGCACTTAAGAATATTAATTTTTAGTTTAAATTTTAATTTAGCAATCGAGATTTTTCAATTATAATTGAGCATGTAAATTCAAAATTTAATTTAGCAATCGAGATTAATTTGACACACATTACTTACAAAAAAAAAAGCACTTTCACATTGGTATGAATATGGGTTGGATGGTAAGGTGAAAAAGGTTGTAACTAAGAGATTTTGGATTCAAGTCTCCTCAATTGCAAAAAAAAATAAAAAATAAAAAAAAATTAAGGTATGAATAAAAATCATGAGAGAGAAAGTTGGTTACATACTAATAACTTCCTTGTGATTTTTTTCTTTTTTTTTTTATCAATTGTCAATTCCTACTTCTACTCCTACTCTAACCTATACTAGGAAAAATCCCAACTAGGTCAAGGGCCAAGGGAGAAGTAGAGGGAGAAGATCCCATCTCTAAATCAAAAGGACATACTACTACATACTCTTTGAGTTTACTACATGTGCAGGGATTTAACCACAGATCTACAGTTAAACCTACACTTTATGTTTCACCTAATGCACTTTATACTTGTGATTAGTGAATCCGAAAGTTACTTTCTTCTAATTCTGAAAACTGCACCTTTTGGTTTTGAAACTATTGAAATGGATTTAAATGTCTTAATAAGTGCCCACTAGGTGTTTGTTAGAAAATTTCAAAAGAATAACTTAACATACAAATAATTTTTATTTTCAAATAATAAAATTAATATTCGAAAAGTTGAATGCAATATTGTGAACTCAAAAAGGAACCATTATCGATTACGTCTATTTATTTTTTAAACTTCAGCTGTACCTAGGTCCAATCTTTCATTTGTTTGTCTTTACTTTTTTTCTTTGTCCTGAAAAAGTTTATACCAATTACAATGACAACTAGAATTAGTTTGAAAAGAGAAAATAATTGTGAAATTGTGAGGACCCGAAATTTTTTTTCTTATTTTTGCCTTATTTAAATATTTATTCACTCATTTTCTCCGAATTATTTATTTCAACTATTTTAAATCCATTTACATTGAACAATGCCTTACTTATGTTTTTAAAACGTTTCGTTAGAAAAGTTTATTTTTCGAAGACTCGTTTAGTAAGGAATAACGAGTACATGCTTTTCGAGGCAAAATTCGATTCGAGAGTGCAATAATTTTGGAGAATTAAGAATGATAAATAGTAGACTAAGAAAAGTTAATTGAGAGATTATATATGAGTGAGTAAAAATTAAGCTTATACCGTGTGCGCGTCAAAAGATTCCCAAAAGTCGCGCCAGTACAAACTAACTGGGGATTAGAGGAATTAATTCTAGACTTATGTGAGGACTCATATTTTTATTTCTAAGATAACTATTTTATGATTAATTACCCTAATATTAGTTGCTTATATTATCATTACAAGAATTTCATTTAGGTTTCGCTTTAACGCGCGCAAATTGGAAGTTCGTGTATATCGAGCCGGAATGGTTAAATGGAGATTTAAGAAATTTATTCTAGACTACTAAGAGTGAATAATTATAATGTTAAAGGAAGTACATTAGAGGTTTAGTGCACAAGTGAAACGAACTCAAGAGAAATCAGATATGAGACCCACGCGCGCGCGTATACTATTCAAAGTTGACTTTTGCACACCTTTAATCTAGCTTCCTTAACACACTTCTCTTACAAAATTGGAGACCAAGAAACCCACTCATCTCTCATACCTCTCTCGGCCATACTCTGTCTCTCTCCTCTCCTCAAGGTGGCCGAACTCTCCAAGGAAGAAGAAGGAGAAAACCCAACTTCACCTTGCACCAATTTTGCTCCAATCTTGCACCCAAAAACACCATTCAACTTCTGACAACTTGAAGATTCACCTTGGCTTGGTGGAGGACATCTTTCTCATAATTTTTCTTGGGCTTTAGAGGTGCAAAATTTCTGATTTTACACCAAGGAGTAGAAGGTAATCATCCGGTCACTTAATCTTGGTTCTAGTTGGTTAATCTTTGCTAGGAAGCTTGTAGCTTCATTTTTATTGTTGTGGTTTGAGTTTAAATACTGGAGTGGGCTCTATGAAATCCCACAATGGATATATTGGACTGATATGGTGATAATGAATGTTGTTTGAGGTAATTATATGTTAAACAAGATGATAATTGGGTAGGAAAGTGAAAAGGAAACCGATGGAAGTTGATGTTAGGCATGAACGAAACTGTCCTGTTTTTGCAGTGGTTTGATTTCAAATTTTTGATGCTCAAATGACCTTGAATCTGATGTAGATATGTTGTGTAGGATGTGTGGAAAGTTTCCACCAAAAATCATTTGATTTGATTGAGAAAAAGTTGGAATTTCGAAATTGTAGAAATCTGGAAAACTGTGTTCAGGTGGTCTGGACAGAGCATATTTGAACGATCATAACTCTCTGCTCAAACTTCAAAATCAAGTGCCGTTTGCGGCATTTGAAACTAGACATCTGTAGTTTTCTAACGGTGTATCATGCACCTTCTAATTCGAAGTGAGTCATCTGTAGTGACTGATCAAAGTCGTCTGCCCTGTTCTGTTAGCCCAACCTAGAGGAAGTTAGAAGCTGCAAATTGTAGCTCTAATTTCTCTCATTTGAGAATTGAATTTCAGAACAATTTCTGAAATGTAGACCTATGAATCTAGTTTCCAACGCCACCAACCACGCTCAATTTCAAATTGTATTGAGTGAGATATAGCCCAATTCCCGAACTGTACCAAGCTGGAAAACCCTAATTTTGCTAACCAAATGGCCGAGCTTGACTTGGGACATGTTGTTTTAGAAATTTTGATGTCAATCACCTACCAAATATATATTAGATGTGTCTTAGACCTTTGTTTCACAAATGAGCCAGATTTGAGTTGATTTCATTGGGCCAAATGTTTGAAAAAGATAACCGAAGCAAGAAGACAGATTTGTCTTAAAAAAAAATATTTCTTAAACTTTGGTAGTTTTGTTAACTACCTTTCCGTACGAATTTTCAAATGCAATTTGATAGAGGAGTAGTACTCATATGGAAGTTGAATTGTACCAATTTTGGTGTCAATCTAAAAGCATTTCAATATACAAATGATGCCCCAAACCTGTTCTTCAAATCTGGAAAATGTGCAAACAGTTTTCAATTTTTTTTTGGCCAACTTTGAGCTGCTATATCTTGACGCTCAAAATTCTGATTCTAGTTCCGTTTGTGTGTTTAAAAACCTTGATTGGAACTCCAATAGTGCTGTGAATTTCAGAGGCTAGTTCACTTTCTGTGAATTTTGCCGAATTTCTAAAGTTTACCGAAAACTAAGACTGAAACTGCCTTGGGAGTCCAAGTCAGCCACTTTAAGCCGAAATTTGGGTGTCTTCCATTTAGAATCTTAGAAAAGTGTCTTCTAGAAACTTTTAAAATTTTGAAACTAGTTTCCAACGGTGCAATTTTTCCAATTTTGGACCTACTGAGTGCAAGATCTGATTTTTCTAAGTTTGACGTGCAAAGCTGAAATTTACCGATTTCTTAGAAAATGA